CACTTACACATTACGCTTTTATAATTATTAGTTGTAAAACGGTCACCAGGCAATATTATCGTTTATCGCAATAAATTTTGAGACAATTAATCGCCCAGCAAAATTTGTTATCGTGACAGGCCTATTATTTAACATTACCTAATAAATCCAAATTAACTTTAAATGGAGTAAATATTTTCAGTGCAATGTTTTCTTTCCTGTATTCAAAGACAGAAGAAGCCAGGCCACAAATAGAGACTCAAAATTTAAAATAGTTTGTCAGCCACTTCAGTTTTTTTATTTTTATTTTTTGTTTTGTTTTGTTTGTGAATGTTTGGCTCTAGGTCCGCCAAAGAAGCAGAGGAGAAGATAAAGAAAGCTCTGGAGAAAGGAGAGGTGCTTCCTACAGAGGCTCGCTTCGACTCCAACTGTATCACTCCTGGTAGGGTTGTTTGAAAACCTGACACCACGTGTATTTTATACACAAAATATGTAGATCGAGCTTTAAAATTATTTGTGAGAGCCTCAGGGATCCGTCTTTGACTTGAAGAAGGGTTCTCTTGATCTTAAGCTTCTGTTGCTTCGGCGTTAATCTTTGCAGTGTTGTTTTGCAATAAAATCACAGTTGCTCTAATATTTAAACATTCGCAAAAGCTAGGAATAAAAGCAAACCCATATTGAACACTAATACAATTATATTGCTTTTTGTGGCAGCTTCATTTATTGGATTCGCATTCTCCAGAATGGATGTATTGATGTTTGTGTTGAAAAGCAGCAGCGGCTCTTTTAATCACAACATTTTTGTTCCAGGCACTGATTTCATGGCGAGACTACAGGAGCAGCTGAAGTACTTTGTTCACAACAAGCTCTCCACGGACAAATTATGGCAGAATGTGAAAGTCTACTTGTCTGGTCACGAAGTGGGTTTCATCACCAGCATTGACTTTTCACAGCTAATTGGAAGAAAACTTTGCTTACGTTTGTGTTTTTTCCTTTTGTTACCTAAAGACACCAGGTGAAGGAGAACATAAAATCATGGAGTTTATTCGTTCTGAGAACGCCAAACCCAATCATGATCCCAACACTCGACATTGCCTGTATGGTCTGGATGCTGACCTGGTATGTTTTACTGTCAGTCTGTGAAGGAGGAGGATCTACATTATTACTATTTTCCTCTCTGATTGCATACTTTGTCTTTTACCGTCTTATAGATGATGTTGGGTTTAACCAGCCACGAGCCAAATTTCTCCCTGCTCAGAGAAGAAGTCCGATTTGGGGGGAAGAAATCCCAAAAAAGGTTTTCCATTCCTCTGAAGAAATTTTGTAACTGATTAATTGAATATTAGATTCAGTTTTGTATTTTATACTTTCTGATCATTACAGATTTAAGGCCATAACAGAATAAGAG